CCGCGCCGCGCCCCGCCATCCCCCCCCCACCTTTGTTTTCCTTACCTTAAACATTGAAACGCGGGCGTCGGGAGCAAACTCGGGCACGTAAACGGAGCGTTGTAAAAGATTGTGTTCAATGAATAATGAAACATGTCCACATGATTGACTTGATCATTTTCCGGGGCTGAGGGGGGACGGGCGCCCTGCTCGCGCGCCTCGCTCGCCCACTCGGCAGAGCCCTGAGAACTGTTCCCAGCCCAGCCCGGGCAGGGCAGGCTCGATTTTCATCAGCCTCTTTTCAGAATCGCCCCGTTCATTGATACTCATCACCCAGCCCCAGTAGACATCCCCATCTCCGGCTCGGCCTCCCCCTATCTGGTAGGTGAAATGCATTGTACCATTAAAAACGCTCTCCATTGTCGCCCTGGCATAATTCACAGCAACTAGATAGGTCTTGCGGCATTTAGCTTTGATGAGCCAGAGACTGAACCCTTGATATAATAATCTACAAAGAATGGTGTGTGATCGTCCATTTTTTCTCTCTGTCTAGCAACTAAGAAACCATTTAACATAGCGCAGCTTGCTTCTGACCTTGAGCTCATGTAAACACACTTATTAAAATCTATCTATTCTCCAAGAGCTACATTCTGATTGTCAGACTCGTTACTGAGACATATATCAGCCCCTTCGCTTGTCACTACTTTGCATTCCTGCCTTTGACTAAAGAATTTTTTATCCAGCCGAGAGGGAGAGAGAGAGATTGCCACGGAGGGAGAGCAGAGAGAGAGAGGGGGGAAAGGGGGAGAGGAAAAAGCGTAATTCTTACCTGCTCCCGAAACTATTTAAAGTCTGTTTCTTTTCTGGGGGGAAAAAAAAAACTCCCGGGTGAATCTAGGTGGACAGCGGGACGCGGAGAATCAGTCACAGCCCGGGCGTTTAAGGGAGTCATCAGCGATCAAATGACGTTGATCCGCGCTGTAACCTTGTGGCGTATTTAATGTAAATAAGGCAGTTATGTTGCCAATCGCCGCGATACAAACACGAAGAGGTCCTCAGCCTTGCCTCCCGCGCCTGCCATTAGAGGCGACTTTATTTACAGACACTATTTAGGAGATCATGATAATTCTAAAACAATGCTAGTGCCAAATGATTATGAAAATATGATTTTAATTAATCACGTAGTAGGCGAGGAAATTAGCATACGGTAATTAAACTTCGAGAAAAACGTCACGCAGGTTCTCTGCCTTATGGGTCCGGAATAATCATCACGCAGTGGGCTCCAGGACTTAATTATCAAACAAAATAACTTTTTAAAGGCAACTTTGAAAGGCTGGTCCTCGAGGCAAACGTTTTTTTGGTAAATAATATCAGCCGAGGTAACAAGGTGGGGATTTGAGTGGTGCATGGGATTGGGTTTCTGTGAAGCAAGGGGCGTGGGGGGGGGGGGGCGCGAGAGAATGGGGGAAAAAAGCTGAATAATGTAATTATGGATTCTCTGTCCTAGGGTTGACAAAAGCTGGTGCCTCAAAAGCCTCTTTGTTATGGGATTATATAATGATCCTGGTGTCATTATGGGTAAAAAAAAAAAAAAAAAAAGAGTGAGTAATAATAATAAAAGAAGTATCCAGACACTCCAATGAGGAGCTTGTTTTAAAGAAAAGCTCCCATGTGACACTAGGCATGTTAATAGCAGCCAGACAAGATCCTAAAGAGTTGATAAATAAAGAGATGGGAGAGGGAGGACAGAGAGAGAGAGAGAGAGAGAGAGAGAGAGAGGCCTGTGTTGTTCACGATTAAGAACCAGTGGAGACAGACTGATTATTCCAAATGCCGAGTTATTGGGGTACTTAAAATAGATTCAGGTAAGACTTGTTCCAGCCCCAGCCCTCTGGAACCAAGTTCCCCCCACATAACTGGCGGGTTTGAGACCAGGGTACCACAACACAGCAAAAGTAAAGATGCAGAAAAAGTATAGCACAGCCACCTGATCGCTACCCCTTCTAGTCCAGGAGCTCCTCAGTTGCAAACACCAGTCCAAGAGTAGGTCCAGGCTGGGAAAACTTTCCTCAGGGAGGGGAGGAGTGAACTGGCAGCCTGGGGGCCAGGTTGAGGGGGCTGCCTTGAACACCCAGGCCTTGCACCTTGGTGCAGTGGGGTGCAGTGGTCGGCTTCCCAGGCATAGGGCACCCTCGGTGGGCACCCAGCCTGGTTAGCGGTGCCCAAACTCTGAATCCTGCCCTGTCAATTCATCTCTCCCTCTCTCTTCTCCCCCTTCCCCTCCCCTTCCCATCCTGTCCCTTCCCTTCTCTCTCCCCTCCCCTCTCTCCTCCCCTCCTCTTTTCCCTCTCTCTTTTCTTCTCTCCCTCTCCTTCTCTGTCTCTCTGTCTTTCTCTCCTAGTCCTAGATTTGGCAAACCAGGAAAGGATAGCTTTCCCTAACTCCAACCAGCCACTTTCTTAGAATCCACACAATTCTCTGCAATGATACTCTCTGAAAATCCCCTGACTACTCCCCCAAAAAGTTTAGGAATTCAATTCACATTTCCCAATCTGATATGTCTGAAATTCTTTTTGAACAAATTCCATAACACGAGGAGGGCTTTTTTTTTAGCTTGTATAGAAATTATCATCGCAATCACATCAATGATATCACTATCTCTATGGGAATGATAGCTGGAGCAGTGGGGTGTTCTTTATTTCAATTCTTGGTGGATCAACTGATTATACTCTGTCTTCTTTTGAACCTGTTATTGTAAGTCAAGTGATTCTTTATAAGTGACAGCTCGGACAAAGAGCCGAGCAGGGCAGAGCAGGTAGAAAGGAAGTGACCATATGGACTTGGAGAAAAGGCACTTTCTCCCCGACAGAATGGGGTTGGCTGGCTCCTTTTAACCCTGCAGTCTCTGGTCAGCCTGGGCCTTGGAAGTAATGTAGTCGGGCCATGAGTCCTATTGTCGCCTTGGGGGTACTTGGGCCCCAGCTCAGCTGGGCAGGGACAGTAGCCCCAGCCCCAGGTGCCCCTTCCAGCCCAGGAGCCCAAAGGCACCCTTGGCCTCTGAGCCTACGCGTGTCAGGAAGACCGCGCTCCAGAGGACCTCAGCTGGTGCTCCTCGGGATATGCTGAGGTTTTCTGTGGCCAGCACCCTCTGGGTAGTGACTACCCAAGACCTGAGGACCAAACCCCACTGCTTGAGCTCAGCAGACAGCTCCGACGGGGGTTTGCCGGCGCCCCCTGTCGGCGCCCGTGCGCTCTGCATTCCTCGCACCGGCTTTGGGGGGCATGCGCTTGCTCCAGGTGGGAGTCAAGGTTGAGGGTGGAGGGCACTGGAGAATTAGCAGAGGTCTGGTGCTCGCCAGTGGCTGAAACTTGACCCCTGAATCCCGCTGAAGCAGAAACAGTCCCCATAGACTCCTCCAACGTGTCTGTGGTCACTTCCACAATGGGTGGCCCTGGGGTGCTTTTCCCTTCCCCCAGGCTTTCTCCTTGTCCTCGTCTTCCTTCCCTGGCTCTGGTCCTGCTGGTGCTGGCTCCCTCTACCCCTTCTCCAACTCTGGAATACTTCTCCCTGCTCCTGCCCTGCCTAACCACGGCTAGAACCTATGGCCGGATCTGCAGCAGATGTCCCTCCCATGGGCCCACCGAAGGCCCACAACCAGGGGTCCTGCCTTGCCACACTTCCCAGCTGCCCCTGTGGCAGCCTCTTCTCACCCAGGGGACTCTGACCAGTGCCGTCCCCACCTGCAGTATCTCTAAGGAAGCTCTAGCCTCTTGATTTCTTGAAACTGATGAATGTCATTGGGAACACACGTTTCCCCATCTGTAGTAAAGGTAACTTCCAGCCGTGTATAAAGTGCCATAGATGACTCAGAGCTAGTAGTTTCAGGAAGATGGTGGCCATCTTCTTCAAGCACAAAAAAGGTCACAAGATCCACAGAAGCTCAGGTGACAGGTGGGGACTCGGTTTGGATCCCTTCAGGGTCCCTCCTGGCTCTCATAGAAAGGCTTTGCTTCTCAATCTCAGGGCTCAGAAAACCATCTCTTCCAACCAGGTGACCCTCCCGTACTCAGAGGACTCCAGTCTGGGCTTCCATATGAAGTCTCCTTGACTTCCTATAGGGTTTCCTCAGCTGCTAAGGACTTGCATCTCTCCACCAGGCTAAGGAGCAGCCTTCTCAGTTATGGGCACCCAGGATGAACAACCTCTGGGGGTGCACCCTGATCAGTGATGGGTGACCCCTGAGTGAGAAGAAATTGGAGAGCACTTGACCGCCTTGGCTGTTCTGTCATGAGCTCTTGGACCCTGGGCAACCATTACCTTCCTCCAACATCGCTTTTAAGGCACACATTTTAAAGAACAAGAGTGCTGTTGTCCCTCAAGGAGGAAGGAAGGAAGGAAGGAGAGAGAGAAAGAAAGAGAGAGGGAGAGAGCCATACACCTCTGAGCTTTCCTAACAGAGGGACAAAGTCAACATAGAAACATTTATTGTCTTGGCATAATTGCCCAGCAACCACCCCTGCCCGTCCTTTCCCACCCTAAGGGCATCTGGGTTGGCTTCTCTCTCAGGTTCCAGCCAATCAGTGCCTCAAATCTTTCTGGACACTGACTGGTTGAGGAATAGGCACGTAACTGGTGCTGATCCAATCAGATTGAATTTTGTGAGTTTTTTTTTTTTTAACTAAGAACCAGCACAGGAGAGGTTGAAATGCTGGAGAACAGTAGTCTCCATCTCTTTGCTAAAAGATCGGACCACAAAGCTTGCAGAGGTCACCAAGAAGAGGCTGAGAACGGTGCCAACCCAGCCAACGGCAGAGCAGAAAGAGAGAAATGGTCCTACTTGCTTTGAACGAACCCTAAATCCAGTCACACTTGAAGCTAGTTCTACCCCTGCAACTTTCTGTTTTGTGACCAGATACATTTTCTTAATTTAACTCAATTTGCTTTGGGTTTTCTGTCACATCCCACAGAATGAGACCTGGTATACTTAGCACCTGACAAGAACAAAGAATACCTAGGCCAGAAACTGGAAAACTCAAAAACAAAGCTGGAATAAAGGGTAGAAAAGTAGGGCATGGATGCTAATGCTCTCCCCACCAAATAAGCAGCTTAAGAAATCACCAGAATTTTCTTAAATCTCCAGGTATGCCATGCTTTGTGTTTATTCAGTTTGTAAATTGAATTTTTATAAATTGAATCGGATTTCCTGAACTCAGAGAGCTGATTATTTAAAGCATCTCAACAGACAAAGTCTTTTGTAAAACGAATGATCAGGTTCCGAAATAACTAAGAGATGGTAATTTATTTATCATTCTAGTTTGCCCACCTCCAGTTTTATTTTCTAAGCAGGGCCAACCTGCCTAGATGCTTTAATGATGTCTTTGTATAAGTTAAGAAAAGGCCAGGAAAATGTTCTGAGCACTCTTGGATACAATCCCACATCTACATGTCTGTTCCCTTTCAAGGCTGTGGCCCTGAAACACCCTGGACAACACAAGGGTCCACCTTTGGCCCTGCAGTTATCCACAACGGCCAAAGTCAAGTTTGAGTTAGGATTGGGGGAAAAGCCATGAAGTTAGGGGACTTTCGGGCCAGAATGTGCCCTGTGTTTTGTTTGCCTGAGGAGGCAGAGTCTTAATTACAGAGCCCACATAAACTGAATTTGGGAGACTGTGGAGGCTAACAGTTGAAACAAGTGTATTAAATTTTGAAATGCAACTGCT